TTGTCAGACTGTGTGCCGCACACATGTTAATGCTCTGAACATGACAAATGGCGTCTGTGGTACTCAGTCATCATTGTATTGCACAGGGTTACACTGATTCGAGTTGCTGGTTTGCAACTCCTTAAACCAGAGCTTGTGTGGTCATAAGATCTGAGCAGCTCAACAGACAAAGAAATGTTGTCGAGATTCCAGGACAGAAAATAGACAGAAATGTATGAAAAAGACAGAGAAATATTACAGATATTTTTCTTTTTTATTCCTTTAATCATCTTGAGACCCTTCAGATCTATCTCTGGACCCCTTGGGGGTGTACTCTGAAGCTACAAAGGCATTTATGAAGACAAGGGTGTTATGGGTAACAGTGGGTCACGAATAAGCCAGTGTGCACAACTCCCAAATTACATAAAAATTGGATCTGAGAGTTAAACAAGCTGATAAATTGAACCAGCTCCCTTGGAGGCAGACTTGAAGCGGAAAAGCAAAAGCATGTCAGCGTCACACTCACAGTTCTTAAGGTGTACAAGTAACGCACGCACACAACTCTGAACGACTCTGTGCTTGTTTGCATTAGAGGAAGTGTCAGCCTTTAGACAGTGTTCTCCACCGCTATCATCTAAGCACAAAACAAGGGAATAGCTTTTGTGAAAAATGTATTCACTCCTCTAGTGGAGTGCCTCAGACTGAGAGACCCCCCGTGACAGAAATGATGTCATCTCTTTAGCTCAAATGCCTGTTATCATGTATTTTTACTTTCCCCTCAAACAAGGATGGATACTAGCCAACTGAAGTAAGCTTTTTCAAAGGTGGTGGAAAATTACCCAAAAAAGTAGATGAAATGATCATTTATTTCATCTAGAAGAAAAAAAAATGACTGGGAGTAAAGATGTAATCAGACAATGCACATACAGGTACTTTGAAAAGTAATGACAACATATTTGCCATATCTTCATGTGGCCCCGTTTTGTGATTACTGCCCTTTAATAGTTTAATTCCACAATACCAGCACGATACCAGCAGACCCAGCAGTCTTGCTCAGCATACTATTAGAAAAAGATAATTAAATGCACAACTAGATTTAGGCTAATGCTACAAATTTGTGCTAGTTGAAGCCAATGTCAGTGTCATCCATCACTACCTTTATCTGCTCGCCGTGAGCTGCCTCACTGCAGCTCCCCTTCCCTCTTTCTTTACATTTAAACCCCATTTGACCTTCCATTTGTCCTCTATAAGACCTGTCTCTATTTATTTTTCCCCTCTCTTGCTCTCTCTCTTTGTTTTTCTGTCTTTCCCCCTCCTTCTGTTTTCTTTCCTCCCTCCTGCGTTGTATCTCTCTCTGTCAGTTTTTGTTTACAAACCCTTTCATCTGGATATTGCTTTATATGTAAAACCCCTCTATTTCAATGGAGTTTTATTTAAAACCCTGTCATTTAAATAGCTCTTTAAAAGACAGAGGAATGGAAAGTCAACAAGGACCCTACAATTGTGTTTTCTGACAGGACTCGCAAACCCGCCGACACACACAGACACACACACATGCACGCACAACGCTTGCCTGTCTACATGCATCCGAGTCTATTATTATGCTAATGAGTCTCCAGTCTCCACATGTCCCCACAGCCTCTGCACACACACACACACATACACACACAGACATATTTCGCTGAACTCAGCAGTATAGCTGCACTCGTGGCTAGCAGGGAAAATAACGAGGAATGGACAATTTCACCATCACAAAAACAGATGGGACAAAATGGGCAGTGTGTGTCACTGATCATCATGGAAAGACAGAGAGAAATACACTTACACGTCCGCTGACACATATGTACTGAATACTTTCTTTTCCTTGGATTATCTTGCTTTCTATGAATCTGGAACTTTCTCTCCAGTGATGAAGCATTTTATAAAGGAGAAAGATAAAATGCTCAACAAGTAGGAGGCTGTACACCTGACAGTATGCTGACAATATGGCTCTACTATCAGCAAGTGCAGCTATTTGTTACTGTGTATTACGAGTCCAGAAATGCTGGGACGCTGTAGATAAAGTGGGAATAAAAACAGCGTGCAACAGTTTGCAAATATCTAAAACCAATATTTTATTCACCATAGAACTTTGAAAACTTACTGATCAATTTTGAATTTGAAAGTAGAATAAAGAAGAAGGGCCCTTTATTGTCATTGCACATGTACAAGAAAAGTGTGGGTGCTCCACACCAACTGTGCAGGAATAAAATATAGATAGTAAGACATGCATCTCAAAAAAAGTTTGGACAGGGCCATGTTTAGCACAGCAATTTCTCCAGATGCTCATAATCTTTTGACGACATTATGTACTGTAGATCAGCGGTCCCCAACCTTTTTTGTGCCACGGACCGGTTTATGCCCGACAATATTTTCACGGACTGGCCTTTAAGGTGTATTAAGGATTGTTGTATTAAGGATAAATACAACAAAATAAAACTAGTATCGGTACCGAAAAAAGAAGATTTATTCATAACACACGTGAAAAGACCCAACGATAAAAACGATAACAAAATAACGCTCAAAACCGGAAAAACCCCTGAAAACCATACATTTCACACCTGAGCCTCAACTCTCGTGGCCCGGTACCAAACGACTCACGGACGGGTACCGGTCCGAGGCCCGGGGGTTGCGGACCGCTGCTGTAGATGACATTCCACAGTACATAATAAGATATTCAAGGTCTTTGCAAGTTTTCATTGAAAAACCTTATTCTGAAATTGTAGTTGCAGTTTTATTTTCCAGTTGTTTAACCCCTCTCCATCTTTACTTCTGAGAAACTCCCAGTCATCTTTAATACCCAGTCATGTTATTCACCTGCTGCCAGTTAACCTAATGCGCCAAATGTTCACCCATCTGTTTATTTTTAGCACTACTTATTTTTCTAGCATTTTCTTGTCCCTGTCCCCAAAAATTAAAACTAAAACTTAAAATTAAATGTTATATGTTCTCAGTTTAAACATTTACTATGTTTTCTATGTTTGATTATGAACAAAATATGAATTTATTATAATTGCAAATGTTTGCATTTTGCCCTTATATTTTACCCAGTATTCCAAAACAAATATAATATTGAAGAAGTTTAAAATTATACTGGTGAGTAGTACAGCCCACCCAATTTGTTTAAATGGATTCTGAAGAATATAACTTTACTCACTTGCTCCTGCTGATAAATTAAGGAAGCTACTGCTATACTTCAGACTTGCCAGGCGTATCGTTGGAGTCATGAGAAAGCGCTCTGGCAAGTTCTGAGGTTTTCTCATCAATGTACTGAGAAGAGATTGATGAGAAAATGTCATATTATAAAATGTTTTCTCAATCTTCAGTTTTGAGGTCTGAGAAGTTGTTTGCTTAAACTGAAAGTGAGCAGCAGCAGTCTCTCGTGTTTTATTAACCCATCCATCCACCCAACCTCCTCTCTGTGCAGGCTCTATACTGCTGTATTACATTGTTAGCTGATTTACACATTTTCGCACAAATGACAGGTCATCATTTCTATGGCTGCTAGAGGGCTTTGTCACTTGAGGATAAATATGCATCATTTTAGGAGCATTTGCTGAAACAAACAAAGGGCTTGTCACAGAGTGACTGCTGGAAATGCTTCATGTAAGACAGTTTGTACATACAGTGTGTGTGTGTGGGGGGGGGGCAGAATACAATAAAACAATGAGATGGAAACTAAAAGAGGCTGAGAGCTGCACAAGAAGATGGGTGATGAGTCTCATTTGATTCAGTGCAACATCAATAGGTTAGTTTTTTACTAAAAATGTGATTTATTTAAGAAATTCTTCATACTTTCAGAGCCTCAGATTACATAGTCAGACACATGCTATTACTCTTTGTATTTAATGTTGTAAAATCTTACATATGAACAAGAAACCTCTTTTATGCAACGCATAGATCCTGAGGCCACTGATGAATATGCTGCTGCACTTTGATCCACACATATTTACACACACTGTACTGTGTTTTAAAATAGACACGCTCTTTCACACCCACAGGACATGCCCTCTCTGTCTCCTTTAAACATTTATCAATGAACTTTAAAAATGGGTTAACTCCAAGGACCTCACCAAAGAGAACTTACATAAATGCACACGTCACTGAATTACATCATACACCATCATCTCTCCTGCCAGGCTGCCTGCGAGTGTATGAATGGGGAAGGGCTTTGCATGACAATGTGTATATATGCAAGTCTGTTGCTGCCTGGTAGCTGGAGGGAAAAGTCTGTTTACATGATATTTAAAAAAAGGTGGTCTCCGTCTATTTCTCTGTCTCTCTGAAAGACCATTCAGTAAAAACACCTTCACCTCAGCTGCATTAAACAAACTCATTGGCTAATGCTGACTATGGATTTATGCGCCTAGGATCTGATTGGTCAAGAGAAGCGCTGATTTGCATAAGAGGAGCTTGATTGGTTGATCGCAGCGTAAAAGCGTTGACCTGTGTGCGGGGCTACATTAGAAGTTGGCGTTGAGCGGTTGGTTTGATGGTTTTCGGTCCCTAGGAAGGACTACAAATCAGGCGGGCACACAAACGTTTCCCCTTAAAGCAACAGTTACTGAACTTTTTATAACATAACATTTTTATACGTCATGAGCTTAACATGCAAAAGCAAAAGATTATCTATAGAAACAACACAGTGTAACAGATTAAAAAGAAAACTTTCCTGTCTATGTAGACGCAATCTTTGCTTTCCAGTTTATGGACTAATTCACCCATCCTTGCATCCATCCAAACATCTTTCACTGTCATAATCAGAGTGTGAGAGCGGGCAAGCACAAGAAACTATCGAAATAAAACCCTCCCCGGCTATCACAGAGCACCGCTGCTGTTGGTCCAACAAGACAAGATGCTCTTTTTTTTCTTTTTTCTTTCTCT